TAAAATGCCAAAATCAAAAGGAGGGTGCACGGTGCCCCGGTGCCCTCCCCGTTCCGCCGCCCATGAACACGAAAGCAAAATCCAAGGCATTTTGGAAAAAAATGAGTATGCCCCGCAGCGTCCGATAACTACCACCTTCCAGTGGGTCAAGCCAACGGGGCCCAAGTCTATAATGGCACTTAACGATATGCACTAACCTTGTCTCACTTTTCGTTGAAGTCTGTTCCGAATGGTTTCGGCCACAGACTTGCTGCACTGAGGTCGTTTGATATGTGCAACTGTAATTAAAGCCACCTGAGGCGCCCTGACACCAGGCTGAAGCTGGGTTGGAAATGCTTCGTCTTTGCAGATATCACTGGCCGCTGATTCTTGAGTGCCTGAACCGGTAGATGTCATGGCAAAATTTGGTGTGATAATTTGGACCTTACCGCAGTCAGCGCACCCTAAAGCCCTAAAAGAAACGCCCCACCCAGAGCTTCTGGATTCTCGTTCCAGTCCACCGTTCCTTCACCCCAGCCCGCCGCCGCGCTCCCTTACCTCAGCCCTCTGTTCCCAGCTCATTGACGAGCGTTTGGGCCTTAGTTAAGCATTGCTGTAGGCTTACTGTATAAACCCATCGAGACAGCCCGTCTCGGTGAGCTTAGTTGGCGAACTACTGCCTTGGGGAGGGTTTCTGGCGGATCGCTGTCCCAATAGGTTTAGATGCGACCGACTGTCTCTGAATGTTTGAGCGGTCTCCTCCCGCTGTGAGCTAGTTTCAGTTGATATCTGTCTCAGAAATACTTTTTAAAGGAAGTTAAACGAAAATCCAACGTAAAATGAACAGAGGAAATGGTAACGAGTTACCTCATTGAAGAGTAGCGCTCGCCTACTTCAAAAGGTTTGGCGCCGTTCTTCAACATCTGATATGCGATCGGGTTATGGCACAATTTTTCTCACGGGAGCTTTTTTCTAATACAGCAATAGGTACGAAATGCGTTACATCGTCCACTGGCGGATCCAGGGAGCGGGCATTTAAAGCAAATATTTACTCCCCCTCCCCCTGGCCCCTGCATCGCTCGAAATAGACAAAACGTACCTTATGTTTCCTAATAATAACATTTTAATCAGGATTTTTATACTGTCCAGCAGTAGGTCCGTAAGGAATCGAAATCCGAGGAGTTTTTGGATTTTGGACATTTTTTTGGGGGGGTATGTCCCCTACAGCGTCGAAAACGCCTCTCTGGATCCGCCTATGACATCATCTCGACTGGGATCTTGCCCCCCCCACGCCAAAATCGAATCCGCCGCCACTATAGCACCAGAGACCGTACAAATGTGTTTGCTAGGGTTTGATCCTTAACCCGCGCCCCACTGGGGTCTGTGTATAACACGCCCTACTGGGGGGGGCTATTCATAGCCCCCCCTCCTAACTCCGAAACTACTGGGCCGATCGTCAAAATTCAAACGGCGTCTGATAGCCCCGGAAAAAACTGTCGAGCGAAAACTAATTTCATTGACCTCAAGGTCACCGATGGCGTCACAGGTCAGGTCAAAGTAAAAATTATTAGCATTTTGGCTTGTTCACATTTTGGGCTCTGGCCGCCGTCTTACAAGTCAGATCAGGCTCATTTTTGGTACACACACTCTTAAACAGATGCTCTAGATACCCTGAGGGTACCAAGCTTTTACTTTGAGTTTCAGGTCAAGGTCAGGTCATCACAGGTCACGAAAATATTTTATCATGCGTCGGTCACGTGGCACATGTTTTATGGTCCATTTAGGCCATAGATTTCGAATTTGATGTCGTCTGTGTCATTCGAGATCATTTTGAGTCGAATTTAGCTTAGGTCAGGTCACTTTCAGGTCAAAAAAGGTCAAATTTTGAAGTTAAAATTTTTCAACAAAAAAGGTGTCTATTGGATGCAGTTTGAGCTCAGGAACACGATGGTGCCATTTATATTGGTGTACGATGTCAAATACGTACTGAAAAATTGATTTGAAAAATCAATAATTGTGAATTTTTTGCAATAATGCGTATAACTTGGCCATTTTTGAAGATATTTAGCTAAAACTTGCTAGAGTTAGTCATAATCATGCGTTCTGTCACATATATTCCGGTTTTTTTCGAAAAGTCAAAAACTTTTTGAAAAAAAATATAAAAATACAAATTTTGAATATTATTATATCAAATTTTCGAAATTTTCAAAATTTTGAAAATTCGAGATAGCAGTTTGATAGCGCGGTCAATTCTGAGTCCTTTCATGCAAAGAAATTGGATCTAGCTTAAAAACTGAGCTCTTGGGAGCGATTGCCGTGGTTCAATGTTTTGCGTCGAAATCGGACGAACATGACGTCACTCTGACGTCATTTCCGGCCGACCTATGGTAGCTACGAAGTTCAAATTTTTACACAAGGTGTCAAATTGATGCAGCCGAGAGTACTGTAAGTTTGGCGTCGATCCGTCAAGCGGTTCGGAAGTTATTGCAGAAAAACGGGAGGGGGGCTATAAATAGCCCCCCCCCCAGTGGGGCGCGGGTTAAGGATTCATACGAGTATATCATTCATTAAGGAATGGCCTCAAAATCCTTGAGGATTGTCGCCAAGATCCTTAAAGATTTTGCTACCAATCTTTAAGGAAAAACCACAAAGTCCTTAAAGGGAGATTATGACCTTTTTCCACAAAATCTGAGTTAGGACCATTTTCTGACAAAACACAACAAGTTATAATGTAAATTAAAACCATTTTGCTCAATTCGGTACCTTGCCGCAAATATCTCAACTTGAAGTCACGTAAGCGGGGAGCGCTGAAAATGACCGTTGAATAAGTACTTACATCACTTTTTGGTACTTGCATGTAATTTTGTAAAATGAGCGTATTCATTACATTTGATCTTCATCACATCTAGTTAGTTAATGGTCGTCTATAGTGCCTTCAAAAGATATTCATGGTTTGGGGGTGGTTTATGTCTAAATTTACGCAACTATTTTTCCTGTTCATCATCTGTCGCCATATGCTGCTATTTTAGTAGCAACGACTCAATTTTGAATCGGTCCCGCCGACTGCACAATAAAAGAAGATAGATACAACACTTTTGCGGCATCACTGAAAAACTTATGCAGTACTGTTATCAAAATTCTCATAACACCGTTCGACAAACCTGAAGTCTTTTTGAAATAAATATGCTTGTATTTTTCGCTTCAGGCTCTGAGGCCAAAATAATGAATTTCGTAGTCGCAATCGCAAGATTTGGCTGCGTTTCTGGCGCTTGCCGTTCATTTGTGGCGCAAAATAATACTTGGAAACAAAGAAGAGTAGGCACTATGTACCCCCGAATTAGAATCTAATTAATTCTAAACCGAATTAACTCTAATTCAAATTAGAATCCTTACAACCAAGCAACGACAAGGCGATAACATAAACAAAAACCCAAGCGTCGCTGTTTGAAACAAAAGCGCCATATACTGCGACTTTTTTATAGAGAAGGACAACGCATTTCGGTGGGTGTTACAAGTACTGCAAGTACTGCTTCTTTTTTGCAAAAATAAAACCTTTTTCACATACGAAAATGTGCTAGGAAATTTTCATATTTTATAGAAACTACAGTAGAAATAGTATAGATGTCGAGTAATTTTTATTTAAGAAAAAAGAAAGCTCATTATCTCCCTTTAAAGATTATTACCAATGTCCTTAAAGACATTGCTAGAGATTTAGCTAAAAATCCTTACGGATTTTCCGTAGAATCCTTAAGGAATTTCTAACAAAATCCTTAAGGATTGTGCATCAATTTCGTACAAGGATTTTGGTAAGGATCGTCCTGAAGAAATACATAGGACTGTCCTTAAGGATTTTTTCACTAGGGAGGTCTTCAGTGGCACGTTTGCACACGCATTGCAAAGAACAATATTGCTTTGTGGTCGCTAAAAACTAAAGGAAGGACCTTTGACCTAGCCACTCGAGATAAAAAGAAATGGGAAGTCAAGAGGCCCGAGCCCCCAGAGTGCAGAGAAAATGCCGGGACTTTGAAATTTTTAATTTCGAGTCCTAAGGACACACAGCCAATGCCTTCTCGACCCCAGCGCCTTCATGCAGCTGGTCACTTTCACGAATCTGAGAATTCCAGAATGAAAATACGCTTCTCGGTAAAGTGGTGGAGATCAAAACAAACTTGAAATGACTGCTCCAAATATAAAGTTGATGTCACCGACGGCCATCCGGCTGTTGACCGGACGTCAGCTCCGGGACGCCACGTCGGGGGGATGTCCCCCCCCCCCCGGATGTCATGTCGGGGGGGGGGGTGTGTGTCCCGAGTGGATAACCCTTGGGACGACCTCAGCCAGTCGGGTGGATGTTACATATTGTCTTTCTCTACCCATCTCTCTGACTGGCTGACTCCAACCGGGAATACCGTGACAGCCGATCGTAAGTAGTTACGAAGCTCGCAGCCCTTCCTCTTTCAGCACACGGTTAGCAGTTTGTCTGAAGACGGTATGCAATATGCACCATGCCCTGCAGCCGGGCCCGTGGGGGAGGGGGGACGCTGACGGTGCCTGATCGACCCGACCCCGTCCAGCCGCTGTCAATAATCGCCCACGCAGCCCGGCCCGGAGCCACGCTAAGGTACAGCAGCCTCCAGGAGCCACAGTAAGTGCAGCAGCTGACGGGAGCCACACAGCGCAGCAGATGCCTAGCACGGGAAAGGGCGATCGTGCAGCAGGGGGACTGTGCCGGGAGTGGAATCGTAGGAACACAAATCCCATTTAAAATACCATAAAAAAACACCCGAAACAAATCGACCGATCTAAACTGCCAGGCGCTGACGAATACTCGTCGGCATTCGCGGCATCACGCGTATACGGTCCATCAGGCACTATCTTGGAGAAAAGTAAACCGCTGCTATGGAGAAACATCATAGAAAAGGCTAAGCTATTTCACTTTCCACAATCATCAACCATTGATATCAAGGAAATGTAGTTACAATGAGATTCCAAAGAATTTTTGAAGTAAAGTAAAATAAACATTAGCAAATACAATATATTACGATCATCGGTGGCGTCAATTGCATCAGATACAATGCATAACTTCGTGAACAACATGCACATGTTTCACCTGTACACTTCAATCAAAAATGCCAACCGCATCTCTCCAACGAGAACAAAATGGCAGCGCATAGCGTGCATCACAATATCCTGCAGCAAAGGAAGACTACGCTAACGAGGGGGATGTTCAAGAAAACCCATAGCCGCCACCGGTGCCAGCCTGTCCATGCACTTCGGCAGTCCACAGACGCGACAGGATAGCACACACATACGTGAGATCACAGCCGGCGCCTCAGCTAGCGCCCGAGGCCGTAGAGGAACGATTGCGGCAGCTTCTGTGCCGCCCAGTAGCGGTGGGAGCGGCGGCAGTGTGACGCCGGTGCTGCCACCTGGAGCGTTAGTTCGGCTGGCGGCCGCCGGGAGGCGCCTACATCGCTATGCTGTAGTGGTAGTTGGCGCCGGTGTACTGCAGCTGGCCGCTGGTGGTGTACGCCCGCGAGCTGACCGTGTAGGTGGCCGTCGGGTGGTGCTCCTGCACGGAGAAGGGCGCGCTCTGCTCGGCGCCCTCCGGCGGCACGGAGTGGGTGACCGCCTGGTGGGCGGCAGTCATCTCCTGAGGCGTCTGCAGCGGCAGCGAAATGGCCGCCTCCTGCTTCACGCCGCCCGGCTCCACCACCGGCGTCTTGTCCAGCTTCGGGAACCGCACGTGCGAGAACTGCTCCTTCAAAAAGTAGCGGAACGCTGAATACGACATCACCTTGGCCTCCGGCTCGAAATGGTTGATGAAATCGACGTACTTTTCGTGGATCTTTTTGCGGGTAATGTCCTGCGGCATGTGTATGCACTGTCGCCGGCTCTGCACCGCCTTGGTCGTCTTCTTGCCTTCCGGCTTGTGCGACAGCTTGTCCAGGTAGTCATTGAGGAAGTCGCTGGCGTGTTTATAGATGTCCAGCGGGAACGTGTTGTGCGGCCTCTTGCCGTGATTACCGTGTACCCGCGGCGTCACGCCGTGAGTGATCACGTGCTTACGAATCCTCTTGAGCTGGTAATGGGTGCAGTTCTCCAGGTACAGAAACGCCTCCAGACACACCTCCTTACCCTGGAAGACGTACTTGGCGCGCAGCCGCTTGCGCTCCTTGTGTCGTGCCGTCTCCTCCGGGTTGGAGAGACAGGCCATGGTGACGCCCATCAGGTACATGTCGTGCTCGTGTTTGGACAGCTCGGCGATGTTCAGTCGGTGGCGGTACACAAACTCGGCGTTCAGGGTCCGGAAGCAGTTCTCCTCGGCGCAGTCACAGCCGCGCTGGAACCGCGTGCGCACCTCCTCCGCGTTATCCTCCAGCTTGCTCGGGTCAATGCCCTCGGCCAGCATGTCTGCAATGCGTCGCTTCTTCTTCTTCTTGGCCGTCTGTTTGGCCTGTCGTTTGCCGGCGGTCGCTCCGGCGGCGGGCGCGGCGATGGCGTCCTTGGCGTCGACCAGCACATAGCTGGGCTCGTGTCCGGCCGGCTGGGGGTGCAGGCCGTGCGGCGGCGCCCCATACTCGGGGTGCGCCGGCAGGATAGTGCCGTCCGAGAGCTGTACGCTCCCGGCCGGGTACTCGGCCGTCACGTGCGTCTCCCAGACCTGCTGGCCGACCAGCTGGCCCTGCTCGGCGGCCTGGATCAGGCCCGACATGGCGCCGCCGCTGCCGTCACCCGGCTGGGAACACACAGACAGGGCCGGGTCACTGGGGGGTAACTGATAAAGACAAAGGCCTAGTCACGGGGGGGGAGGGGCGATCGACATAGATAGGGGACATGTCACAGGGGGCGAGGGACACAGGACGGGTCTGGTCACTGGGGGCACCCACACAGGACGATGGCCAAACGCCATACGGCAACAACAATAACTTTGTAACTTGCCGTGGCCTGGTACAACAGGCTAAGACATCGACTAGTAACGCTTGTCTCGAGGTCTGATTCACTGCATCAATGAAATTCGCTCTCATAACAGCAATGAAATGCAAATGACGTCCTGTATCGTAGCAATTAGAGCGGTACCCCGCCCGCTGCTGATATAACCCTTAGTATTACACATCAGCTAGCTTTCCTCAACCCACAGTGATTTCAAATCTACCTACCACTGAGGCAGCCTGACAGCGGGACTGACCTGCTGCTCGGGCGGCGCGTGCAGGATGATGACCTGGTGACCGGAGGTGGGCGTCTGTGCCATCCACTGCACGTGGCTGTGCACCGACTGATCGTGCTGCGAGCCGCCGGCTGCCGGAACACCGAGAGGACAGACGCACCGCGTCAGAACATAAGTAGTAAGTACGCTGGTCCTCACTATTTCGGCGACAGCATTAAAACATTAATTCGATCTGGTCATCCGTCAATAAAATATATTAAGTGCAAGCACTTTTAAGGACAGTGGAGTAAGGACCGGACAGTATGAGCTGGGCTCACCTTTGTAAATGCCCGGCTGTGTCTGCATGCCGTGCTGCTGCTGATGTTGCTGTTGTTGCTGTTGCTGCTGATGTTCCACGGCATGGTGACCAGGGTGCTGCTGCTGCTGTTGTTGCTGCTGCTGATGTGGGTGGTGTGGCTGAATCGTGACGCTGTTCTCAGCAATGGCCATATGCCCTTGCTGCTGCTGCTGTGACGTCGACAAGTTGTGCGGCTCCTCCTAGTGCACACCGGAGGCAGAACGCATCAACATTGAACACCTGTCGTGCGTCGACTGACGACTGGCTTGTAGCAAAGGTGTAACTAACATGTCGTACTTCACCACCAATACATCCACACACAATGCCCTCCAGCGCATTCGCAATCGAGCACAAATGAAGAAATGGGTAACGCAGTCGACATCCAGACATGAATAAATACCTAAGCACAAAGCACCTGGCAGCACTGCCGCGGGCGATCACTGTCTGTTTTTAATGGCAGCCTGCGGTGCGGCACTCACCCCGGGCTGCGCGTAACGGTGGTGCTGCATCTGCTGGTGCTGCTGCGGCGGCGGCCGGTTGGCGTTGTTGACGTCTCCCCGCTCCATCGAGAGCAGCGAGCGCAGCACCTCCTTCTCTGTGGCTGTGGTGGTCTCCATCACAGCTCAGCCCACTGAAATAGTTGCAACACCCACCGTTAGAGCGATGGCCTAACTGTGCGGGAAACATATCAAGGCTAATAGCTATAAAAAGCAATAAATACCATAATAGCCAACTGAGCTATCTACGCTGCTGCTAACTTGCTGCTCTGAGCTAACTATTATAGCCATTATAGGTAGATCTGGGCGCTGTTCGGTCGCCATATTATTTATCAGCAAGCTGCCAGCTTGCCGGGCGCGTTTTCGGTTTCTCATTGGTCGAAGGCACGTAGTCTGGGCAGTTCACCAATGAGAGGCCAAGAAACGCAACCAATGCTCTTGCACAAACAATAGGAAAACCAAAAGCATGCTCATGACATAACTGATGCCAAACAGCACTCAGGATGTGACTTCACCTGTCACCAAGCGGCAAACGGGCAGATGTTTCAACCAAAAAACAAACAAAAAAAAGCAGTGAGTAGCCATTTGCCACCATTGAAAAGTAACTTTTTTGCAAAATGGATTCTTCATAAGATGCCCTGATGAAAAAAAAAACAATGAACATTGTTAAGCTCCTTTGTCATCTCAGGATGAACTGTGATTTGGATAAAAGGGTCATTTAATCATCTCTTTTTAAGACAATGATGAATCTTATTGGTAAGCATATGGTGGTACAAGTACTTTTGGACCATATACTCCCCCAATCCATCCCAAACCTCTTGTCTTTTCTATGGCCATTTGGTGGCAGTTTATTCACCATGCTGCTGCCAGTTCACTTTTACCATATGATGGAAGATCCTACTTGTTGGGGCTCCTCAGCCTCAGCTTCTCATTAGTGAGCACTGAGCAGCTAATGATATGCTGTTTATGCTGTGTTTAATGTTTAATGTTCTGTTCAATGTTGTTCAATGTTGACCAATGGGAATCTGATAAACATCAGCAAATGGCAGCATGCTGATTAAAATGGTGACCACACAGTGCTCCAATTGTTTCAGAGTTTTAGAAACAGAAGCAGGAGGGCGGTGTGGGATATCATGAACAGCCCTTACATATTAATGGCATTATAGCCAATTTCTATATCAATGAATCTAAAAAAAGCTAGTGGGTACTTGAAAATGAAATCATTTTTAAGAAACAGGGACTCCAATGGATCAACAGAGAAAAGGAAGCCTTTTTAGTGAATGATGTCTGTTATACCATCACCGAATGGCAAAGCGTAAGCAATTCTAAGAAAATTATCTAATTATTTAACATCAATTGACTTTAAAAAGCATCAGGAACAATCAGCTTCCTGCATCATAATCAAAACAATAGGGTCGCTTTTCCAAAGCACAGAACATGTAGAATGGGGCGGCGGATTCGGGGGGGCAGGGGGGGGCAGCTGCCCCCCCTGGCAAACTCGTGGGGGGGCAAAAGTATCTTTTTGCCCCCCCCCCCATAATTTGTGACAAAACTTAGACAAGAAACATATACCTGATTATTCTGTTCGATCATCGGAAGATGTAACCAGATCCCCATATACTTTATCATACGTTGCCTTGCTTAAATGCAAGTGTTCGCGTTCAATTCAAGTTTTCCTTCAACCTTCCTTCAAGTTCTCTTCAACCTAGTTTTGGAGACATTATAACGTGACGCAGCGGCAACCCAGGTCTTCAGTGACCGCTTACAGGGGCGACGGATACGGAGCGGCAGAGGAGGCATCGTTCCCTAAGAAACTTCTGGAGGAGGGACAAACGTATATTCTTGCCCCTCCATAATTTGTGCCCTAAACATGAGGAAAATTTCCATAACCTGATATTGCAGCTATGCGCTCCTACAGTTTGTCCAACGGTGCCTTTTGAATATGTGTAAATGCTAACCATTTCCGCTTTATAGCATTTGTCTTTTCAGATTCGATTTAGAGATATTTTAAGTGTGCAAGAGACGCAATTCACACCCTCAGTGGTCGTTTGCCGCTATTTTGTACCTACATGAATGCCAAATCGCAAGCGAGCGGAGACGGAAGGGCTAGCCATTCGCTTGCGGGTAGTTAGGACTGATGAGCGCTCGTAATAAGCCACTCCCCTGATTTTTTTCGAGCACAACAGTTTCCACTTTCCAGTGTAAGTAAAATGGTACGCCGAGGTCGTACACATTGACCACATTGACCAATGCACGGTATGACACCCAAAGGCCAGTCATCAGAGATCGGCTTTGGGCATTCGGAGGCTTGTGTGGGGCCAGTGTAAAAACTGGATGTTCACAGTTCAGTATCCGCTTTATTTCAGTATTCACTATTAAATAAGTAAAAAATAACGTTGGAAACTTTTGAGGGTTAGGGCACTGATCATTAGTGGGGCCCCCTCTGGCTAAAGGCTGGCTATAAAATACAGAGCATCGAACACGAAAGCAAAGTCTAAGGCATTTTGGAAAAATGAGTATGCCCCGCAGCGTCCGATAACTACCACCTTCCAGTGGGTCAAGCCAACGGGGTCCAAGTCTATAATGGCACTTAACGATAGCACTAACCTTGTCTCACTTTTCGTTGAAGTCTGTTCCGAATGGTTTCGGCGACAGACTGGCTGCACTGAGGCCGTTTGGTATGTGCATTGTGCAACTGTAATTAAAGGGACACTCCCACCTTAACATTAGTTTTGAGTTGAGATAGCCAAATTGGTGGCCATGGCCTGCAAATACCGGTTTGGGCACTCACAACATCGACAAATGCTTTAATTCGGAGATATGGAATTTCAAACTTGCAGTTTTCGGATTCTAAGGGGCTAGTGCATTGGTATGCCCCCTTAGAATTTGTGACGTCAGCGGAGATCTAACGATTTTTAAATCTTTTACTAAAACGTTTGGTAGCACGCGGTGGTATATGCTGCTTTGCGCGCAACAAATGCCGCACTTTCAAATAAAGTCGCTAGGAACAGCGGAGATCCCAAAAAGTAAACAAAAGTAAAAGTCTAATATCTTGAAAACCGGTGAATATTTTTCGATGAAATTTGGTAGATATTCGTTTTCGCTCTTTCTGAACCGAGCGACATCACTTTCGTGCCAATTCATTAACTTTTTTGAAGGTGGGAGGGTCCCTTTAAAGCCACCTGATGCGCCCACACTAGGCTGAAGCTGGATTGGAAATGCTTCGTCTTTGCAGATATCACTGGCCGCTGATTCTCGAGTGCCTGAACCGGTAGATGTCGTGGCAAAATTTGGTGTGATAATTTGGACCTTACCGCAGTCAGCGCACCCTAAAGTCCTAATAAAGAAACGCCCCCCCCCCCCCCCAGAGCTTCTGCATCCAGTCCACCGAATTCCTTCACCCTAGTCCGCCGCTCGACTCCCTCACCTCAGCTCTCCGTTCCCAGCTTGACGAGCGTTTGGGCCTTAGTTAAGCCTTGCTGTGGGCATAGTTACTGTAGGATAAACCCATCGAGACAGACCGTCTCGGTGAGCTTAGTTAGCGAACTACTGCCTTGAGGTGGGTTTCTGGCGGATTGCTGTCCCGATAGGTTTAGATGCGACCGACTGTCTCTGAATGTTTGAGCGGTCTCCTCCCGCTGTTAGCTAGTTTCAGTTGATATCAGTCTCAGAAATACTTTTTAAAGGAAGGTTAAACGGAAATGGAACGTAAAATGAACAGAGGAAATGGTAACGAGTTACCTCTTGAAGAATACTCGCCTACTTCAAAAGGTTTGGCACCGTTCTTCAAATCTGATTTGCGATCGGGTTATGGGCTATGGCACAATGTTTCCCATTGGAGTTTTTTTCTAATGCAGCAATACGAAAATCGTTACATCGTCCACTGGCAGATCCAGGGAGCGGGCATATAAAGCAAATATTTACTCCCCCTCCCCTTGCATCGCCCGAAATAGACAAAACGTATACCTTATGTTTCCTAATAATAAAACTTTTATCAGAATGTTTTTTGCTTTATACTGTTCAGCAGTACTTATCGTACAGCAGTACAGCAGTACAGTAAGGAATCGAAATCCGAGGAGTTTTTGGATTTTGGACACTCGGGGGGCGGGGGTATGTCCCCTACAGCGTCGAAAATGCCTTTCTGGATCCGCCTATGACATCATCTCGACTGGGATCTTGCCCCCCCACGCCAAAATCGAATCCGCCGCCACTGATGTAGATGTAGAGCAATTGCCTATGCGATTCAAAGAGACAACCTGGTTGGGTTGGGTGGGTTTATATAGCCTTGGGTGGGTATGTGCTTAGAATTTTGCTTAGAATTTTGCTGCAAATTTCACAGACCAGTCATTGCAAATGTGCATACCAATGGAAGAACAGTGTTTATCAAAATACCAAGAATAACTTTGTACAAACAAAGTACACCTACTTCGCAAGCAATAATAAATATTAGCTATCCAATTCAAATTGGAATACAAAGGTTCAGTGAGTTCTTGATGTCTTACCATCAGACAAGGCAAATTGAAATAAGGAAATAAGGAGGCTAGACAAAGGCAAACATCAGCCCAGAGATTCAGATTCTGAAACTGCCAGACAGGTCATTACCCTGCAACTCAGCAAAATAATCAAAATCGTGCATTTGAGAACCCACGTGATTACAAACACATGCGGCAATCCACCACGACAGCCTATAAGAAGATTCCCTCATCGCGTCATAATGCAGCAAACTCAGCCTTATTGCGTGTCGAAAAGGGCCAAAATGGCGTGCATCAAGTCAGACACAAGCGGATCGGTCGACAAAGACGAAAGTAGGTAGGCAATACTCACCGATTCGACTTTACGGTAGTGCTCAATTGTGCCAATGCTCCTGAATGGGCAAACACTTCGCCGGGTGTTTCAGCCAGAAAACAAATTTGAGACAGCACGCCGAATGCGAAAATTGCAGTAGAAATGAAGCTGCAGAACGTTCGTATCGCTCAGGGGCGGCCAGAAAATGGCGTTCAGCGTCACCGGCGTCCCTCCCGACCGGGCGAGTCCACGTTAGTTGGCATGGGGGAGGAACCAGGGCCGTTCGATTATTTCTCAGTCCGCCGGATCGGCCAAGGACCTCTACATGGCACGACTGGCGAGAGGGCGC